AAAAAAAAAAAAAAAAAAAAAAGACAAATTAAAGAAGCAGCAGCAAACCAACTCTTTGGTTTTGAGAGGCTGACCTGCCCCTTGCAGCTGCCAGCCGCTGCTCAGCAGGTCCTGTCATGCACTGCACAGCTTTGCTAAGTCATGCCCTGATGCCCTCAAGTAGGTACTATGAGCATCCACGCAGCTGCATGTGGCTCCTGTAAAAAACTCCTAGCCTCATTCTTTGGCTATGAGGTGATTCACACCCCTACGGCTTTATTTTAAAGAATTCCAAATTAACTGAATCTTAGGCAAAACTGACTCAATATTAAGAAGAAAGGTCTAAGGTGGATAAAAGTCTAAGGTGACAAAGCTGAAAGAGAATGGAGAACGGGCCTGGAATGGATTCTATAACACTGTTCATTTAAGTCAAGTCAAAAGATTTTGGGGTGAGGTCTTCTTGGGTGACTATTAGTCACTTTGGGGAAATGAATGAACAGTTTTGAATCATGGCAACATGTGCTAGTAAGCTAAAGAGTGGAATTATATGAAGGTAAGTGGCAGTAGGAGATGTTGATTGACTTGCTAAATATTTAAAAGTCCTGGAGAGTCTATAGTTATTTACCTGAATGATAAATCCTGCCATACAGAACCTTGTGCCTTCCTTTTCTCAGATTTGGGTCACCAGGTATTCTTTGCAAAATAATGACAGCAAAGTCTTGATCATATTATCCTTTGAATGAAAATGTATTATCCTATAAAATATTTTTTTGGGGATTGAGGATTTTTTTTTCTAGTGATCTACAAAAGCTGATTAAAAGCAATTATCACAGAAAAGGGTGTTATTGTTTTGTTTTGCCACTGTCCCTAGTTTTTTCTCCAGATACTGTCTTTTAATAAAACTTATTTTTATTTCTCACTCTAAAAAGCAACTGTGATAAATGGACATCATGGATAATGATATTTTTAAAGGCATGTAAAAGGCACAAGCTGATTATCCCTGTTCTCTGGTGGGCAGGGATGGGAGAAGGAGGCAAAGTAATGGTGAGAGCTCAAGGCAGCTTCTAAGCCACCACCACAGGCAGCACTTGGGTGGGATTGTTGAAATTTAGAACCAGGAGTAGACTTAGCATCTAGGCAAACCTCTTCACTTTCAGATGAGGAGGCTGAGGCTCAGAAAGTCCAACGTCATCCTCTGCTAAGTCCCCGGCTACTGGCTTTCCTGACTGACCAATGTGAGAAGGAACACAGTCAAGTACTGCTCACTTGTCAAAGGCTCACGATAATAAAAGGATCATAGAAAATAAAAGCTGAGGCTTTATGGGTGTGAAGGTTCAGCCTTGTGTTAACTGCCATACCTGCTTCAGGTGCTCAGGCCATCCTTCACAACCAGTCAGGTTAGAATCCTGCTTACCTGAAATAGTCACATTAACTACTTCATCTTCTTCTCTTTTTTAATATATACAAATCCTTCCCCCAAACCATAGAGGTATAAAATGTGGTTTAAATAATAGAGTATCATATGAAGTATATGAATGTGTCAGTTTCTGAAGGAAGAAAAAAAGTAGGTGCATATGTGTCTGTAATTGGGAATACAATTGTTTTTCAAGGATTAAATACTCAACACTTTTTGCCCACTAATAGAAATAAAAGCTGGAAAGAGCTAATATTTTTCGTAGCAGCAGCAGCTAGTTGCATATAAATAGTAGAAAGTTTTGTTGTACCTCTTTCTTCTGCTCAGAAAACCAGCTTGTATCTTTGTTTGAACCTTGCGGCAATATATGAAGATCCACCAGGACAGCAAAATTCCCACACTGAAAGACATTAATGGCAGAGTCAGTGTCTGTGTGGCTCATGCCCAGCAAACAATGTGAGAAAATCTCACAAATTCCTATGTGGCTGATCATGATGAAACGGCAACAAAGTTCACTACTAGACAGAACTCTTAATAAAGAACAGGGCTACAGGTCATAATGTACTACTTTTCCTAAGTTTAACATTTACAGTGGAAGTGCTAAGGAGAGATGCAATATTAATCAGGATAGGAAAGAAAATATCTATCTCTGGGCTGCACCTCGAAAGGGGATATTCAGGCATCTCAGCAGCAGTTGGAAGACATCAAGCATTGAGAGAAGTTAAATAGGTCAGTACTAGGTAGGCTCCATAAAAGAATGATTCCATGCACAGCCAGGGGAATTTTTTCTTCTACTCAGCAAAGAACAGATAGAAGATACTGCATTTTCAGATGGACAAAAGGATTGGCTAGGACAGTACACTTTGGTATTGAAATAGGAACATGGAAGAATGAGAAGCAAGAAAAAAAAGGTAGATACTGAATGCCAGTTAACAAAACTAAAAAAAAAATATGCTACAAAACTGTAGCCTTTGTTCTTATTCTATAGGCTACCGCTGTCCAGCACTTTGAAAAAAAATGGAGATATTCTATATCTATGATGTTCAGTAAAGACAGCTAATAGCCATATGCGGCTCTGAACATTCAAGACGTGGCAATTGTGACTGAGAAGCTAAATTTTAAATGTAATTTAAATTAAAAATTTAAATAGCTACACGTAGCTAGTGGTTCCATACTGGACAGCACAAGTACAGACCCTGTGAAAAGTTGTTGCCTTATAAATCCTCACATATTACGAGTAAAGTAATTTCTGAGAATCACAAGATAACTGGGAATAAACTAATTTGGAAAGGAATGGGACACCAAGTCTGTAGGTTGGGGATGGTCTGAGAGACCCAGAGGTTTGGTTTATGAGACCAAGAGGTTCTGGTTTATGAGACCCAGAGGTTCAGTTTTTTCACTTCCTTGGCTGGAGAGTTTTTTTTTGGTTTGTTTTGTTTTTTTTTTAAATTCTGTCCTATATATCAATGGTGAAAGGAAAGTAGTTTCTACAAATGGTTAGACCATCAGATGTAAATATAAAGTGAAACTTGACAACTACTTCATGCTATACACAAACTTTAATTGGAGATAGATCACATGCCTAAACAAAAAAGATAAAACTATCTTCCTGACCTTTGGAATAGGAAAGTATTTTTTAGACAGAATCCAGGAAACACCAAATAACAACAACAAAAAAAAGTTAAATTGTTAAATGTTCAAAATTAAAAATTTCTGTTAATCAAAAAAGGACCATTAATAAAATAAATAGGTATGCTACAGAATGGGGAAAATGTATCCATGTGTTTAATCATACATATATCTGGCAAAAAGGACTTATATCCAAAATATGTAAAAAACTCCTACAAATTGATATATTTTTTTAAAAACCTGAGTTTGAAGACACTTCACAAATAGGATAAATGAATGGCTAATAAGAAAATGAAAAAAAGTGTTCAATATCATTAGTTACCAGGCAAATGAAAACTAAAACCACCAAGAAATACAACTACAATACCCACCAAAATGACTACAATTAAAAACACTGACATAACATGTAATGTTGGTAAGGATATGGAGCAACCCAAACTCTAACACTTTCCCAGTGGAAATGTAAGACGGTCTAGCCCCTTTGGCAAACAGGTTTGTCAGTTTCTTTTAGTCAAACGTACATTAACTTATCAACTGAACCAATGATTCCTCCCCAGGTATTTACCCAAGAGAGATGAAGCGTATGTGCACACAAAGACTTATATGCAAATGTTTATGGAAGTGTTAGTTATAATAACCCAAAGTGAAGACAACCCAAAAGTCTACAACAGGAGAACAAATTGTGTCATATTCATGCAATGGAATGCTACTGACCACATATCGATATACTCAACATGTATTCATCTCAAAAACATTAGGTTGGGCAAAAGAAGCCAGACCATAAAACTACATACTGTATGGTTCCATCTATATATAATTCTAAAACAGCAAAATCAATGTGTGATGAAAGAAATCAAAACAGAAATTTCCCTGGGGGGAGGGAACTGGGTGAGAACTGTCACAAAGGAACTTTTTTATATGTGATAAGAATGCCTTGATGGGGTATGTTAATGTGCACACTGTAATCAGTTCCTTTCACTGTATTTAAATTATACATCAATAATAAACAATTTTTAAACACTGTGTAAAATGCACTCATACTTGTTGGCAGTTACTTAAAATGTAGGTATTACGTCCCTGAAAATGTGTGGGAGACCAAAATGAAGTTTACTGGGTAATAAACTGAGAAGCATGTTGAAAGATGGTTTCCTATAATGTAAAACAGTGCACTTTAGTGTGTTACAGTTTAGCGTGTTGCAACCAGCATTTTACTTTAATGAAAGAGAAGTGAAGATAGTATTAGAATGCAATACAAAATATCAATGTGTCATATGGTAAGATCAAGAATTGTTTTGTGAAATGTAAGTAAGTGTGCACTCAGTTATGATGGAAAGCCTATTTCTTATTGTGGGTTGTAATAAAAAATGTTTGAAAACCACTCAAGTATACTGTTAAGTTCTCAAGAGTTGGTTATGGAATTAACCTTTAAGGAGTCTGCTGCCACCAGGTGGAGGCAGCATGCCACAACTACAGGATCTTAGCCATGGAATATTAACCTTTCATGTGCCATGGACCTATTTAGCCAGCTATGAAGCAATGAAGCTTGCTCGGAATAATATTTTTAAATGTATGAAACATATCATATAGGATTAACAAGAAAACCAATTACAGTGAAGTGCAGTTATCTTAACAAAAGAAAAATTTGTGACATAGGAATGCCTGCACTTCTTTATGAAGGCATTGGGTTTTGTCAGATAGTGATGATCTAATGACGGCTACAAATCTGAAGTAGTGATAAGCATAAATGATGTCTTCATTATCTGCAACAACCATAATGTAATATGAAAAGAGCTATAATTTATAATGGTGACAAATACTGCTAATACTATTCATATTTTTATTATTCATAATAAAAAGGAAACTAAATTTATTAGAACTTGGTCACGATAAAGATGTAACTTTTTCCCATCCAAGTTTACTGACCTCTGAATTCTATCACAGACCCACTGAAGTTCCAGACATTCTAGAATAAAAACCCTTCCAAAGTGGTAAAATATGTCTCAACACATTTTATTGTGGGTTCCCACAGGTGCTCTTTCCTGATTTTTTAATCTAAACCAAGCTCACTGCTACCTTTTCATTAGCAAAACTAATTCTGCTTTTTTTTCTTGTAACTCTCCCACCACCACAGAACTAAATCTTAAAAAAAAAAAAAAAAAAAAAAAAGGAATCTTAAGTTTAAGCAACTTGAATTAATATTGTAACAGCAGTTTTCTGAATAATTAACATTATAGTAAGGTCCAATTTGATATTTCTCTTACCGTTTTGGGAATTTGATCACAAATAACCCTGTCTAAGTTTGAAAATAAACAGATTGAGTAAAATGTCTCTTTTTAGAAAAATAAATTGTCAAATCTTACTGCAGCAATCAGACTTTCCTGGGGTTTCTGGAAGACTCCAAGCTGTTTGGCAGGCAGTCCCCTCCCCCGCAGGGGGCTCTCCCTCTGCAGCCTGCAGTTCTGAACTCTCTGAATTCCCGCCCACACTAGGCAGAGGTATTCTGCCTTTCCAAAGTTCCCTGCTCTCAAACCGTTGCTTCTTGTCTCTCATGAAAAAACAGAAGTGGGAAAAAAAAAAAAAAACTTCTTATGCTGCCAGTAGCACAGCCTCCCTTTCTCCTCCTCCTTAATTAGGAAGAGGTTATTTCTAGTCTCAGATGATCAACTCTCTAGCTTTCTTCTGAAAGGAGCAACACGGTAACCATCACTTCTTTCTCAGGCCAGAACTGGTCACTCTGCAGAGGCCAAGCCATCTCTTGAGCAGCCCACAGGCTGCTAGGAACAGCTTCATGTCACATACACTGGGCTGCAAGTCCCCCAGTCAGGGCCTGGTCTGGCTTCTATCCCCTCCACCCAGAGAATTCAGCCAACAGCGGGGAGTCACCCCTAACTCCTCCCTTTCCCTAACCCTCCAAAATCAGTCACACATCTTGTCCATTTTAATTTTTTAGAGAGTTCTGAAACACACTCCTCTCTTGCTCTGCTGCTCACATCTCCCATTTGGAAGATCAGAGTCATTTCTATTGGTGTCCTGGATGAACACTCAACGCCTATCTGGGCAGTCTCTAGCCCACAAATCGGATCAGTCCACTCCTGCTGCAGCTCAGAGTAGCAAGTCACAAGCCTCTAATGAGGCCCACCTCTTTGTCTCCTGCACCTGACTTTTTCATCCTTGGCTTACATTACAGCTTGCCTCGCTGCTTCCATGCTTGTTGAGCTCCTACTGTATCCTCAAACCCTAGCAGGAGTGTGGCCAACTCTGTGGAGCTATTCTGAACAGTTTCGCTTTCACTGCTCTGGATCAGTCCATTCTTGAGTGATTATTTATTTCTGCATTAAATGACTTGTCCATGTAGGGCGCCCATCCTAGGCTATAAGCTCCATGGAGACAGGTCTATATCTCTGCCAACCCTGTATCCCCAGTGATCAGCACTGTACCAGCCCTCAGTGAATGCTTAATATTTAATGAAAGGAAGGACAAACAAACAAACGAACAAAAAATGACGGAACAAGTTAGCTCCAAGTTTTGGGCAAATCACAGCCTTGTCTGCAAAGTGAGAGCTCTAAGCCCTTTCTAGGGACAAAGCCATTCCTATTTGGCCCAGTGCACGGACACATCACAGAACAACTTCCTGTCACCCTATTCTAGAGTGGCAACAACTCTGCCATCACCAACAACAACCAGTCATTTTTCATATTTTGCAAAATGGGAATACAAGAATGTTAGGATTACTTCACTAGAAACTCACTGCCAACTGAGTGTATTATTTTT